CTTCCCTGCTGCCATCAAAAGCCAAACCCTTCATCTGTGCTCCCATCCCACTTCTCTTTTCAGGCCACCCAACCTGGCTTACTCACCTGTGATACGTGGACACTGCTCATGGAGGGCACCAGACTCCGGGACATCAAATCCAGTGCTGTCTATTCCTTTGTCTTTCTGGCTTAATCTCTCAACATGTCAACTGGAAAGGCCATTCCAGCCTTAACACGTAAACTTCTCTGAGCTTCCGGGATGAGATTCTCCCCTGGTGCTCCCCACAGCCTCTGCAGAGGCTCCTTCTCAGACTCCTGTTCATGTTCCTCCATGTTCCAGTGTGGTTCTGCCTGGGCCACCTCCTCTCCCCTCTGTGCACTCTCTCCTAACTGACCCCAACCAGGCCTGTGTTTGAAATACCACATACGGGCAAATGGTTCCAAAAGCTCTCTCCACTATTTGCCCGATACAGTCTCTCCACTTCAAGTGGGCCAGCCACCACCTGCCACCCTTCCTCCCGAATGCCATCTCCCCACTCAATCCAATCCTTCCCCTCCTTTAGGCCATGCTCAAGTCCTAACTTCTCCAGGAAAATAAAATACCTTCCAATGACTCCCTAGCCACACTGATCTCTCCCCTGTCTGGGCTTCCTGAAGCACTGAAACAGTCTCCAGCACAGGATTTATTACTTAATGAGGGATAGTCTTTTAATGGTTCCCTAAATGTCTGCTTCCTATTGTGCAAATCCGTCCTCCCAACTAGATGTAAGCTTCTGAACAATACAAGCATTTCTTTCCTTGGTAGTGAGCAACACGGGCGATGTCCAAAATAATTATTAGTTCTTTGATAACAAACATGAAAAACCAAAACTCTACGCACTATTTTAGTGTGTTAGTCTGAGAAAAACCTGGAAGTTATCTGACAAATTACAAGTAATTTTTGTATATATTTTTATTTGTCTAGAATCACCATGTAGCATCACAAGGAACCCACATTTAGAAAGGCAGTGATAAATTCGTAAAACTTTCTATCAAATGAAATTCTCAGAACTTTCAAAACTTACATTACTGAGCAAGATTTCATATAAACCACAGAAATACAGTAAATAAGTATATTTTCAACGAAAACATTAAATGCAGGTAAATTTTTGTTCAATTTGTGTGTTAATAACAGAAGCAGTTTAATCCCTCAATACAAAAGTCTACCTGAGACACGGGGAACACACAGTTAAGCTTAGGATTTCTGCCAGACCTTTCTTTAAGCATAGCTACAGAAACAAGTGCTGTTCATCAATACTGTTGAAGGGTCTGACTTTTAGGCTACGATGAAGACCAGTTCATCTACTAAACAGAAATAGCTTTATTTTTCATGATTAAAAAAAATAAATTCTATCCCACCTTTGCCATTCTCCCAGTTCCCATCAGTTAATTTTCCTCTCTGTGGCCACATCACAACTCAGCTGAAAACGCCTTGCCACACCTAAGTGATAAAGGCTCAAACCAGGGAGCCTGGTCGTCCTCGGCTTGGCCCCTCCAGACTCCTCTCTGACCACCCTGGGCACTAAACACTTACCTTTGACATTCCAGCAACACCAACTGCACAGAGCATAACCAGATACTGTCCTCTCCAAACCCGTGGGCACCTGGGGTCCCCCACTTCCAACCCCATCATTTCCTCCCCTTGTCCCCTCACCGTTTTCTTCACAGTTATCTTTTTCTTTCTTATTGCAACCTTCGCCTCCCGAGTACAAGCAATTCTCCTGCCTTAGCCTTCCTAGTAGCTGGGATTACAGGTGCAAGCCACCACGCCCGGCTAATATTTGTATTTTTAGTAGAGATGGGGTTTCCGTCATGTTGGTCAGGCTGGTCTTGACCTCCTGGGCTCAAGTGTTCTGCCCATCTCAGCCTCCCAAAGTACTGGGATTACAGGTGTGAGCCACTGCGCCCGCCCCAGAGTCCTCTTTCCAGAATTGGTTCAGGATCCCCAATCCCACTAGATTGAGGGAGAAGAAGGCCTTGGTTGCCCTCCTCTGGGTTTCTTTTGCTACATGTGCACCCTGGTAATAGAGCATTGACCATACTGTTCTGAGACTTAGTCGTGAATCTTTCTCCCCAAATATCTGTAAGTTCCTGGAGAAGAAAGACCATGTTTTTATTTGTATTCTGTCGTGAGCTGCACAGTGTCTCATATAAAGAAATGTCCAAGTCCTGACCTTTTAACGTGATCTTATTTGTAAACAGGGTCTTTGCAGATGTATTTAATTAAAGGATCTTGGGATGAGATCATCCTGGACCTAGGGTGGACCCTAAATTCAATGACTGGTATCCTTAAAAGAGAAAGGAGAAGACTTGAGACACACAGACACACAGGGAGAAGGCCAAGGGGAGACAGATGCAGAGACAGAAGTGATGCTGCCCCAAGCCAAGGGAAACCAGAGGATGAGAGAAGCAAGCATGAATTATTCCTAAAGTCCTCAGAGACAGCATGGCCCTGCTAATACATTTTGGACTTATGGCCTCCAGAGAGAATAAATTTGTTGTTTCAAGCCACCAAGTCCATAGTAATCTGCAGTAGCCCTAGGCACTAACACACAGTCCAAACCTCAACACGCTACCTACTACCTAGGGGCCGCTCAACAAAAACTGTGCTCAACTAAGATGAAGGCAAGGCAAGGAATGAGAAAGCATCTGAACTGCAATCTGGGTTCAGCATCTGGGATGTGGACTCAGATGCTGCTCTACTATGAGAATTCTGGTGAGTCCCTTATCTACAGTAACTCTAACTCTTTCCCCAGTAAAATGACGAAACTGGCCCACAAGACCCCTCTACGGGGGACTCATATACCTTGAACCCTCTTCAGCCAGAATAACGCCTCATTTTTTTTTTTTTTTTTTGAGACGGAGTTTCGTTCTTGTTACCCAGGCTGGAGCGCAATGGTGCCTTCTCATCTCACTGCAAACTCTGCCTCCCGGGTTCAAGCAATTCTTCTGCCCCAGCCTCCCGAGTAGCTGGGATTACAGGCACCCGCCACCACGCCCCGCTAATTTTTTGTATTTTTAGTAGAGATGGGGTTTTCACATCTTGTTGACCAGGCTGGTCTCTAACTCCTGACCTCAGATGATCCACCCACCTCCACCTCTCAAAGTGCTAGGATTACAGGCGTAAGCCACCACGACCCGCAGAACAGCTTTAATTGATCCTTAATAGCATCTTCTTCCCATTCACTAAATTAATTTTATTAATTTTCTTTTCTTCTTTTTTTTTGGCTCAGAGTCTCACTCTGTCACACAGGCTGGAGTGCAGTGGTGTGATATCGGCTAACTGCAATCTCCACCTCTCGGGTTCAAGTGATTCGCCTGCCTCAGCCTCCCAAGTAGCTGGAATGACAGGCACACGCCACCACGCCTGGCTAATTTTTGTATTTTTAGTAGAGACAGGGTTTCGTCACGTTGGCCAGGCTGGTCTTGAACTCCTGACCTCAAGTGATCTACCCCCTTTGGCCTCACAAAGTGCCGGGATTACAGGTGTAAGTCACCATGCCCAACCTTAATTTTATTTTCATCTAAAAAGCTTTCAGGCAAAAAAAAAAAAAAAAAAAAAAAAAACTGGATTAAAATGACATTTCATACTTATATTTTAACCAGTTCATAAAAAAGTAGTAAAATAGTTTAATCGATAATATGCTGAAAATCAATTTACCACCATATCCCCTATTTTTTTCTGCAAAGCAACATCAGCAATTTACTAGTAGTTGACCCAATCCAGCTGGAATTGTTGACACTTTTAGGTCAGAAAAACTGCACCTAAACATGAGTCAACGTAAACGCCACTAACTGACCCCAAACCTAAATGTTTATAACACAACTGCATGATGACTAATTTTTTGCAGAGTAACAAAGAAAATCTCCTCCAACATTGGAATTTTCTCCACTTGCACTGTAATTGAAGTCCCATACCGAAAATTTCCACTTCAAAGAATCTGGCTAAGAAATACATAAATATAACTGCTGCCACCACCAAATGGTAACGTGTTAGTAAAGGAGTCAAACAAAACAAAAACTCTTTCACCCATCTTCAGGCCTCCATAAACACATAGACACAGTTTTCATGGTTGAATGTTTCCTAATTCAAAAAATGGAAATGAAGGGTAAACAAAGGTGTTAGTAATAAAATGTATACCTGGCCTACCTGTATATACTCCTGCTGAATTTGGGTTACATTTAAAACGATACTTTAACTGTTCTCATAGATCATGCTGCGGCCCTTGCATTCATGTTTGTATAGTGGCTGCCTTGATTCTTTTTTTAGGAAACCAACCAAAACAACATAAAGGAACCCCGAGCCAAGGGACTCACATTTCAGTTGAACAAAATACCCATGAGAAACACTTAGACTCAAAACTTTCCAAACCAATTCATCCTTCTGAAAACAAACTCGACAGTCACTGGGGCCAACTGTTCAGCTAGAATTGGCAGAACTACGTTTGCAAAACTGAACCGTGAATCCCAGCACAAGTGAGTTACCAAACTTTTTCCTTCCAGGTGGAAACTCAATCCGAAAATCAAAAATCCCTCGAGTTGGAAGGCTCAATAAACCCACAGTATTCAATTCCAAAGTTCCTGGCTTTTAAATACGAGCCCCCACAGGCACGAAAACGGGACTGCAAGGTACATAAACAGATTGATCTGAAATGTTTCCAGCCCTTAATAACAACTCTATCTTAAAAAGTGTTCTTTAACTGTAATAAAACTAAGATAGCAAAAGGCAAAGGAAGCGTCTTGGGGTTTCGGCTCGCACACAGTCCTTGTGTTTTGTAAACTCTACCACGTAAGTGTAACTTAATTTGCAAAGAAGCAGAAGGACTGGCGCTTGTAATCAAGCATTGTGTTTTCTGGAAGCCCAAGCCCAGGATGAATGAGCTTTAACTCTGTCGACTGCGTGTTTACTTGCATCCTCACGTGGCACACCGCACAGCCCAAAAGCGCTGCGCCCGGGACAGCTCGGGGCGCGCCTGAGAACCCGAAAACTTTACTTTGCAAACTAGTGGAGCTGAGAGGCAGCTCAGACGCAGATTCGCTTGCCTTTCCCTGAACTGCACCCATGCCAAGCACACGAGGTCTTTCCTAGCACCACCCCCTACCTACAGCTCCACACAAAGGCGCGTGGGTGCCGGCAGGACCCCTCTCCAAAGTTGAGCGGAGAGGTAAGAAAAAGCCGAGCGGCACAGGACCGGGCGTCCCGGAAAATACTCACAGGGTGACCGTGCGGTTGGGCAGAGTATCTGGGGGCAGGACCTGCGCGAGCTCCAGGCTGCTACACACCACCTTGCCCTCGGCGGCACCCGCCGCTCTGCCAGACCCTCGGGGCCGCCCATCGTGCTTGCAGCCGGCGGGCAGCGCCGCGGCGCCACCGCCACCTCCCAGCAACGCTAGCAGCGCTAACAGCGAGAGCTGCAACAGCAGCGGCGGCTGCGCGCGGCCCCGCCGGCGTCCGGGTGGCTCCATGCTGCGGGCCGGGGCCTGCGGGGAGAGCGGCGGCGCACTGGCCTAGCGGGCCGCCCCGAAGTCCGGGCGGGCAGGAGCGCGGCGCGGGCTCAGCGGCGCCCGGAGCCTCATGGCGGCCGGAGGACGGGCCCTCCCCGGCGCCGACATGCTCCTTTGTCCGCTGCGGCTGCGCTGGGCCTCGAGGGAGCCGGGGGTCACGGCCGCACGGGTCCCAGCGCTGCTCTACCGCCCGGCGCGAGCACCGCCTCCTCCTCCGCCGCCGCCGCCGCCTCCTCCCCTGGCCAGGACCCGCGGCGGCTCCTCCCCGCCCGCCGCCGCCGGCCGCCTCCGCCCCTGCCCCTCCTCCTCCCCGGCTCTCCTGCTCTCCCGGTGTCTGCGGCTGCCCGGGAGTCCGGAGAGGAGGCGCACGCTCTCGGGACCTGCCGAGCCCGACTCCGACCCGGTGCGCGCCCGGGCCTTGGCCTCCGGGCAGGAGTTGTGGGGAGCCCGCGGGAAGGCGGTAACTCGTAGAGAGGGCCAAGGAAAGTTCGAGTCCAAACTCCAGCCGCGGTGGCCACTCTTCTGCTCGTTTCCCTTCGCCGTCACCGCGCTTGCACCACGGGCACAGGACAAAGCCGTCCTGTGCGCTCCTGGAGACTGCCCATGTGGCCCAAGGAGCCTGACCCGGAGGATGGAGTAGAGAGAAGAGCAGGGAATTTCCCTGAGCATCCCTATGGGGAAAGTACCCAAAACCAAGTGTTTCTGAAGGAATCGCCTTCTCACCTCATTGTGGTAGTCCCATTTGTCCCAAATACACTCGAGCCAGGAAACAGGTTCCTCTTCAATACGGTGAACAATCTGAAACTGTTTCTGGCCTTCAGCGACAACAGCGATAGACTCTAGAGGATGCATCTGGACCTCACTAGAAAGGCTGCCTTTTGAAAGAAATTTGACAGGCAAAGATACCTGAGATGTTCACCAGTTTGGGCAATAATGAGAGAACCCTCCAAGAAACCCTAACAGAATTGATTACTCTGACTTCTAGCCTCGCCCTAACATTTGCAAGCCCAGGGCTTACCTACCCTATGTTTGAAATTTTACAAGGATTCTATGATGCTAATAAAGTATGTTCTGTGCTCCTGCTTTGAGAAATTACCTCCATTACAACCTGGAAGGTTTGTAAGCAGGATTCTCAGACACTTTGGAGTTTCTCCCTGAAACACAGCATGTGGGAAAGAGTCAGATCCAAATCTTTGGCCTGTACACCCTCACCGCCTTTGCGTCCTGTGCCCAGCTGTCTTCAAGGACAAGAAGGGATTTTTGTACCTGTGTGTGAACACTGCAGCCCACAAAACCAAGTTCTGTTCACACTTTCTACCAGCCACCCTTTGTCTGCCTCTCTAGCCCAGGTGTGCCTATACCAGTTGTTGGGTCCTTCATTGGGAGGACAGTTCTCAGAGGAAGCTAGCTCAGGGCCAAGAAGTGGCCTTGGTAACATCAGTCAGGGAATTCCAGGGTCCTGGGTCTTGGGGACATAGTGGTACCCAGGCTTTGGGTGCTAGCCTGGAGATTTTTCACCCCATAAGAAGAGTCAGGTTGGTGTCCTCTAAAATGGAGGGCCCAGAGCACGGTTTTTCTTGCTTGAGTCTAAGGGCATTACTGCCTCTGGCCCCTACAAAATTTATCTTAGGGACCAATTTCCAGGAATCGATTTATCTGACTAGAGCTTTCTCAATGGGAAGTAAATAAATGGTCTCCATTTATCATATACTGTTGTATTAAATTTGAATAGCAGTTCATTTGACCAACCCAACAATGTCCAGTGCTGTCTAATAATACATTCTGTGATTGTATAACTGTTCTAGTTCTTTACTGTCTAATATGGTGGCCAACTGTGGCTACATCGTGTGTGGAAAGTAGATAGTATGCAATAAGAAGTAAATTTTTCATTTCATTTTAATTAATTTACAGTTGAATTTAAATACCCAGTGGCTCCGCTGTTGGTGTTGAACAACACAAACCCAGACAGTATGATGGGAAGAAAAAGTGGGAGATTAGCACCACCATTAAGTGACTTCAGATCTATAAATAACCTTAGAAGACAAACTGGTGCCTCTGTGTTAAGGTAGGTGAAATGGATCACATTTCTCTTGAATTTATCTAAAGAACTATTATTCCCTAACAAAATTATTATCTGCTTTTTGATTAAGATAAAACCTTACTACAGATTGAGCATTAAGCATCCCTAATCCAAAAATCCAAAACCTGAAATGCTCCAAAATTCAAAACTTTTGAAGTTCCGACAAGTAATACCTCAAGTGGAAAACCCCACACCTGACCACGTGTGATGAGTCACCATCAAAATGCAGACACGCTACGCAGTTTACTAGCATCCCCAAGGGAAAAAAGACCCTCCCAGCCTTTTTCTACTGATATATATCTTTTCAGGGCATGCCCAGATTCCCCCATGCAAGCGTGCGCCCCAAAGGTAATCAAATGGCCTGTGTGCAGACTGGATTTGCCAAGGTCGAGTTCCCCACAATGCCTACATGGGGACTTCATCTACATGCATTACTCACTGTGGGTTTGCTTTTTTTTGTTTTTTGTTGTTGTTGTTTTTTCTTTTTCTTTGCTCTGTGGTGTAAAGATATTTTTGGTATAAAGAAATACCAGGCCAGGCACAGTGGCTTCCACCTGTAATTTCAGCACTTTGGGAAGCCAAGAAGGGCAAATCACAAGGTCAGGAGTTTGAGACCAGCCTGGCCAACATAATGAAACCTCGTGTCTACTAAAAATACAAAAAATTAGCCAGGTGTGGTGGCGGGCACCTGTAATCCCAGCTGCTCGGGAGGCTGAGGCAGGAAAATCGCTTGAACCCAGGAGATGGAGGTTGCAGTGAGCCAAGATTGCACCACTGCACTCCAGCCTATGTGACAGTGCAAGACTCCATCTCCAAAAAAAACAAAGAAAAGAAATATCAAAAAAAGCCTGCAGTTAATCCTGTGGGTATCAACGATAAGAAAAAGAAGCATTTATTATGTCCAGTTGTTAAAGAAACTGGACAGTGGTGTAGGTATGAAATTTCTTACAGAAAAGAATGGTGACAGAGTGGCCACCATGTGTAATCTGAAGAAACAGAAGGATAAATTGTTGAAGATCTATGCTAAAAGTGATAAACACAAGTAAATGAAAAATAGAAAAACATTGTATGATGCAAAATATGAAGATCTCAATTGAAAAAGTAGATCCATCAGCATCACAGTGACCACATGCCACTTAATGGTATGCTGATCATGAAACAAGCAAAGATCTATCACAATGAATTGGAAATTGAAAGGAACTGTGACTGTTCAACAGGGTAGTTGCAGATGTTTAAGCAAAGACACAGCATTAAATGTTTAAGGATTTGTGGTGATAAAGTGTCTGCTGATCAGAAAGTTATGGAAAAAGTCATTAATGAGTTTGCCCATATCATCGCTGATGAAAATTGGGTACCAGAACAAGTCTATAATGCTGACAAAAACATCACTATTTTGGCATTATTGCCCCAGAAAGACGCTGACTGTGGCAGATGAGACAGCCTCTATAGGAATTAAAAATGCCAAGGACAGAATAACTGTGCTGGGATGTGCTAATGTCGCAGGCACGCATAAGTGTAAACTTGCTGTGATAGGCAAAAGTTTGTCCTCTCTTTTTTTCAAGTAGTGAATTTCTTACCAGTCCATTATTCTGCTAACAAAAAGGCATGGACCACCAATGACCTCTTTTCTGATTGATTTCACAGACATTTTGTACCAGAGGCATACACTCACTGCAGGAAAGCTGAACTGGATGACGACTACAAGGTTTTATATTCCTTGACAACTGTTCTGCTTATTCACCAGCTGAAATTCTTATCAAAAATCATGTTTATGCCATGTACTTCTCCCCAAATGTGACTTTATTAATTCAGCTATGTGACCAGGGTATCCTTGAAGCATGGAAGGATAAATATAAAAATACTTCCTTGAACAGCATTCTAGCAGCAATAAACAGAAGAACGGGTGTGGAGGTTTTCAAAAAAAGTTTAGTATGAGGCCAGATGCAGTGGCTCACACCTGTAATCCCAGCACTTTGGGAGGCCGAGGCAGATGATCACCTGAGGTCAGGAGTTCAGGACTAGCCTGACCAACATGGTGAAATCCCATCTGTACTAAAAAATACAAAAATTAGCCAGGCGTGGTGGTGGGCACCTGTAATCCCAGCTACTAGGGAAGTTGAGACAGGAGAATTGCTTGAACCCGGGTGGCGGAGGTTGCAGTGAGCCAAGATCGTGCCATTGCACTCCAGCCTGGATGACAAGAGCGAAACTCCATCTCAAAAAAAAAAATAAAATAAAGTTTTGTACGAAGGATGCCATACATACTGTTGCCTATGCTTGGAACATAGCAACTATAGACAAGTGGTGCATGCCTGGCACAACCTCTGGCCTGCAACTATGTTCAGTGACGATAAACAAGGTAATGACTTGGAAGGATTGTCTATGTCAAGTGAGAAAAATAATAGCTGATCTACTTACACATGCAAAAAATATACCCCCAATGTCTGTCTGTAAGCTGGAAGAAGTGAATATCAAACAATGTTTATCATGGGTAATGAGGCTCCAGTTGTTCATTCATTGACCAATGATGAAGTAGCTGAAATGGTTTTGAATCAAGATGATCATGATAATCAGTGACAATGAAAATGAAAGAGAAAGTGCCTATAAATGACATGGTAAAAATTTGTGATGGACTTACTGAAGGACTAAAGCAATGTTCATTCATAATAGAACAAGAAATCATGTTGGTTTATACAATCAAAGAGGGACTTCTAAGACAGAAACAGTTGTTAATGGGGCAGATGACTGGAGAAAACATTTTAAAAAGACATCCAGCTGAATGCCTCAGAGGACCCACTTTCTAGTCCTTCAGCTATTTCTAAGGTTCCTTCTTACCTAAAAAAGTGAAAAACAGTGTACAGTAACTATATAATCAAAACATAGTCTCGCAGGTGGAGACTGAACATCGCTGTTGCTTGTTGTTGTTATTATTTAACAACTGATGGAGGTATTCTGGGGATGCTATTCTGCTGCTTAGTTATCCTGAACACTTTATTTTTTCCCTGCATTAATGGTATGTCATGTTTTCTACTGTTAAGTACTTATGTGTGAATAAATGTGAGAAAATGATAGCTTATCAGTAGCATACACATTCAGAGTCAGGAATGATGGTGATGCCAGACAACCACAGATTATCCACATGGGTGGCTGAGCTAGGGACATCTTTGCTCTCTGATGGTTTGATAGACACAAACTGTTTCATGTATAAAATTATTTAAAATATTGGATAAAATTGCCTTCAGGCTATGTGAATAAGGTGTATATGAAAAACGAATTTTGTTTTTAGACCTGGGTCTCACCCCCAGAATATCTCATTGTATATATGCAAATATTCCAAAATCTGACATAAAAACACTTCTGACCGGCTATGGTGGCTCATTTCTGTAATTCCAGCACTTTGGGAGCTCAAGCAAGGAGGATCTTTTGAGGCCAGGAGTTCAAGTCTGCAGTGAGCTATGACATCACCACTGTACTCCAGCCTGGTGAAAAAGCAAGACCATGTCTCAAAAACAAAACAAAATAAAACTTTTGATCCCAAGCGTTTGAGATAAGATATGCAACCTATATAGCAATATGATGGTTTTTAATAACCATAAAAACCATTTATATTGATGTAGCCAGAAATAGTCATGTGAAGTTAAAATATGGGAATATTTTGAAGTCTATCGTTGAAGTAAGTGTATGTGTCTATTGTGAAATGTTTACCACTAATACTAGTGTCAATTTGGTATATGTCCTCTTTTTACTTTTTACTTTTTACTGTAGTTGAAAAAGTTATTAAAAAGTACAGAATTTTCAGGAAAAAAAAAGAGATATCACAAGTGGTACCATGAATCCAAGGATTAATATGGAGAAAATGTTTTTCTTATAGGGATCATTTCAGCCACTGTTGCACAGAAATCACTCATACTATCTTTGAAAAAAAACAAAAGGTCTTTATAGATCACATACACTAGTGTATTAAAACTGGAACTAACTTTAGAAAACTATTTTTCAGCATTGTAGTCATTCGAAGGCCCAGAACCTTGAGTTATTGTTGTATCCCAGCATGAGTTTATGAGGACATGACAAATAATCCTATCTACAGTTACAACAAAGGTCTCAGAGGATGACACTTTCTGAAACTGTCTCTTACCCCTCAGTCACACCAAAATCTAAGCTTGAATTAAGCTACCCTAGCCCGGAGAGCCTCTCGCCAGACAGGTCTGTCTACTGCTGATCCTCCCTCAGGCCTCAAGAGCACACACCATTTGCAACTGAAGAAATTAATAGGTCCTGTGAAAGTTCTCACTGTGTGTAATTGTTCTACTTTAGAAAGTGCTATAGAAATCACTTGTTAACCATACTCAGGCATACACTGTCCAGTAGAACTGTATTGCATCAACTGTTGCTTTAAGGATGGTAGATGGACCACATTCCAGTGATTCTGTGCGGCGAATCCTGTCTTGCTGTGTTATGTAAGGCTCGTAGGAGAGTCAAGAGAAATAGACAAATATGCTTTGTTTTTTTCTTAATAGAGAAACTGTATTAACTCTGTGTGTAGGTATGTGTCTAAATATATATATTTATATGTGTAAACAATGAGTATGTATATCTAAGTATACATGTTATATAAAATATGTGTGTATCCGTATGTATCGTTAATAATTTTTTTTCATGTCTGTCTTTCTTCTATACCAGACTATGAGCTTCTGAGAGCTTTTCTTTACCTCTTCTTTTTTTGAGATGGAGTCTTGCTCTATTGCCCAGTCTGGAGTGCAGTGGTGCAATCTTGGCTTACTGCAAGCTCCACCTCCCAGGTTCACGCCATTCTCCTGCCTCAGCCTCCCAAGTAGCTGGGACTACAGGCACCCACCACCACGCCTGGCTAATTTTTTGTGTTTTTAGTAGAGATGGGGTTTCACCGTGTTAACCAGGATGGTCTCGATCTCCTGACCTCATGATCTGCCCGCCTTGGCCCCCCAAAGTGCTGGGATTATAGGCGTGAGCCACCGCGCCCGGCCTACCTGCTTCTTTAATCATTCCCTCCCACCTTCCATTATTCCCTATTGCATTATTCTGGAATCTAGACTTATTATCTCGATGGAATCTTGCTAATCTTCACAGCTTGTCCAAACCTGCACAGAGCTTATTTTCTTATTTGTTTACATTTTTATGTTGTTAGCCTCCCCCACTAATATCAGCTCTATGATGCTCTTATTTACTTTTTATGGCACACACTGTTGGTTGCTGCCACAGAGCAGCAACTTTTTCTCCCTTAGAGCTAGGTGTAATAACTTTCTCAGCCTCTGTTAGTGGTCATATGGCCCAGTCCTAGCCAAGAAGAATTAATGGCTGGGCTGTTCAATATGGTAGATGTGAACCCAGAATATCTGAGACAGGTCTCGGTTAATTTAGAAAGTTTATTTTGCCAAGGTTGAGGACATGTGCCTGTGACACAGTCTTAGGAGGTCCTAATGACACGTGCCCAAGGTGGTCGGGGCACAGCTTGGCTTTATACATTTTAAGCAGGGAGGGGGCTTCCAGGTCACAGGTAGGTGAGAGACAAATGGTTGCATTCTTTTGAGTTTCTGATTAGCCTCTCCAAAGGAGGCAATCAGATATGCATTTATCTTGGTGAGCAGAGCGATGACTTTGAATAGACTGGAAGGCATGTTTGCCCTAAGCAGTTCCCAGCTTGTCTTTTCCCTTTAGCTTAGTGATTCTGGGGTCCCAAGATTTATTTTCCTTTCACATAGCCTCTAGACACATGTGGGTAACTAAATTTATTTATGTATTTATTTTCTGAGACAGGATCTCGATCTGTCACCCTGGCTGGAGTGAAGTGGTGGGATCCTAACTCACTGTGGCCTCGAACTCCTGGGCTCAAGCAATCCTCCTGCCTCAACCTCCTGAGTAGCTAGGAAAATGGGCACACACCACCATGACCAGCTAATTTTCTTTTTTTTACAGGATGGGGTCTTATGTTGCCCATAATGGTCTCAAACTCCTGAACTCAAGCCATCCTCCTGCATCATCCTTCCAAAGTGATGGAATTACAGGTTTGAGCCACTGCGCCTAGGTATAAATTTTAATTTTAATTAATTAAAATTAAATAAAACTAAACATTCAGTTCTTTAGTCAGTCTAGCCATAACTCAGGTGATCACAAGCTACATGCCACTGGTGGATACCATTTTGGACAACGTAGATTATAGCATAGTTCCAACATCTTAGAAAGTTATTCTGGTCAACACCAATGTGAGGGGAAGTTGACTGAGAGGCTGCAGGATGGAGTGGGGTGTGTGTGTGTGTGTGTGTGTGTGTGTGTGTGTGTGTGTGTGTGTGTTGAAAAGAGGCTTCCATGAGAAGACTTCTCTCTCACTACACCCATTCTTCATGCTTTGGACATGGTCTTGTGAAGACATTGACCTGTGAGACCTGGAGCTGAAGCAGGTATTTTGTGACCACCAAACAGCCCAAAGGAAAATTCCAACATAATAAAAGGGAGGGGAAGGAGAGAAACCATCTAGGTCCCTGAGGTGATAGTTGAACTGCCAATCAAGTCTCTGGATTTATTTATCAACAAGGAATATTCCCAGGTGTAAGTCACTGCTATTACGATTTTCTAGGGCCAAGAACAGTGCCTGACACATAGAGAGAACTCAAAAACACTTGTTAATTCACATAGTTAAATTTTATTCATTTTTATGTTCTAAACATCACAGGTTCCCTACTGGTCCTATATATTGGGGCCTTAGTGGACTAAAAAGGTAGTTTGTAGTTAGACAAAGTAAATATTTTGAATAACTAGGCATAAACTCCCAGCTAAAGTCAAATAACTTGAGATGACTAACTCAAAGTTCAGTTTTCTGTAGTCAAATGGAAATCTTTAGTTATGATGAAATTAATAGCAGAACAGCAATTTTTAGCATTTGAAATGTCTCAATGACACCTCTTTAAGCCCTGTTAATAAACAGACATTCTCTGTTCATTTTTGCATCATTTAATGTTAATTTGTTAATTTTGACAGCTTAGTTTATATTTTTGGGCATTACATAGCATGTGCTATCATATGAGGTTGGTCACTATTCAGGATCCAGATAGGAACAGCAGTAGTATCTCAAATAACCTCTAGCTTCTTTAGACAGCATTAGCTCCTGTTCTGTCTTTCTAGTTGCTAGAAATAGTGACGTTCGACAAGTCACTATATCTCATCTTTCAAAATGAAAGCTTGAACTGGAATCAGTTTTAAAGTGCTATGATTTTTTTCCTGCTGAACCATGAATTCTTCTTTTGTTTGTCTACTGCAGTCAGACTATTATTGGAATGTATTCCTGTGACAGTTAAATGCTCTCTTTAGATGATGAAATACCTTTCTGAAATGGTATATTCTTTACCCACTCCAGTGTAATTACCATCAATTGTAAATATAAGGAAGAAATATGAGGCAAAAATTGACCATCAGTGCCATGTGGGGAATTACTTTCATGCAATGTTAGTTTCCAACTATACCACCAGGCAGGTGAGCACAGATGTCATCGAATAGGAAGGCTCACAGTTCAAATTAAGATGCGCAAATCACACAGTTGATTACATCAGTCTAAAGCAGTGAGAAGCAGAGGAAAGAGGGTAGATTAATCCATGAAGCATAGGGTACAAACAGATGAAAGATCACATTACCTGAATATCACACAATGCTCACATGAACTGTCTGGATTCATTCACCTTTTTGTCTTTCTCTTGCCAAACTCAGCCACATCAGCTTTTCCCACTGACGGTGTGATTACGAAAACCAGAGTTGAGGTCTAAGAACAAAGTGGCCCAACATATGTAAAATACACGGGGCCAGTTGCTTTATTAGAGAGATCTAGGGGCAATGATGCCTGGCCACAATTATAACCTGCCAAATAGCCCAGTAAGCATTTATGTACTTTATTATTCCTCTTGGACAGAGGATATGTGGGGCCAGACTGTATGTCACCAATGGGTGGCTTATTTTCAGTGCAATAAATATTGAGTGCCTCATATGCCTCATACGCATATTTTATGAATTAGTGAATATTTGGTGCATACTCAGTCCTTCTACTCTTTACTGTGTATAAGTAATTTTCTTATTTGTTCCACTGTGTTTTGCCAGTTTACCACATATGTACTCAACTTACTTTTTCTATGTGTCATAAGCTATTGGCTTCTATACTTGGTATTATATATTCTCCTTGCTTTCCCCCTTATTTTCCATAGCAGAATTAAATATTCCTAAAAAATACTGATAAAGTATTACATGACAGAAGAAAGAACAGAGTTAGGGAGAAATTTGAAAATATAGCCCACGCCAGAAATATAGCTAGTTTCCCCCCAAAGCATTGTTTTCTGAGTATCTGTTGCCCAAAGATAATTATGATATGCCTTTTCATTTTGGCTATCTATGTTATTATCAGATTTTGTCCTGGTAATACCAACTGTAATGATGATCATCTGTCAGTCAATTAATAACTATTAATGATAGGCTCAGTAGCAGATTTGCCAATCGTGAAATTTCATCAAAATCTTTTTTCTTAAGCAAAGGAAAAATTTTCTACTTCCTTTGTGTCAGTTAATATACCAAAATCCATTTATTGAGTCAAGCAGAATGAGAAGGGATATTTGAAATTATGTCTTTATTAACAAAGTAATTACAGTGGTAGTCTTGAATCTACCTTTGAACCAATATGTTAATAACACAAATAACTTCCTGTTATTTGGACTTCTACATTTATTTTTTAATAGTTTGTTGTATCACTTAGAGGCCTCAAACATTATTACATTATAAATAATGTGGTTGTATAAATTAGTGAAATACAAACAATTTTAATTTAAGGCTGTGCGTGGTGGCTCACGCCTATAATCCCAACACTTAGGGAGGCCGAGGCGGGTGGATCACCTAAGGTCAGGAGTTCAAGGCCAGCCTGGCCAAGATGGTGAAACCCTGTGTCTACTAAAAATACAAAAAATTAGCCGGGCATGTGGCGGGTGCCTGTAATCCCAGCTACTCGGGAGACTGATACAGAGAATTGCTTGAACCCGCAAGGCAGCGGTTGCAGTGAGCCAAGATCACACCACTGCACTCCAGCCTGGGTGACAGAGTGAGGTTCCGTCAAAAAAAAAAAAAAATTAATGTAAATGCATTATGTTAGTCATTACATGAACATTTTTAGTACTTTGGTAATACGATTATTTTAGTTGACATGTCAATAAATCAAAACACATTTATATTTTTGTATAACTCCAAGAATGCTAAATTTAAAGGAAAGTACTTGATAAGCATTGAGTGCCTCATATATATTTAGTGAATCATAAATATTTGGTATATATTCAGTCTTCCTATTCTTTACTACATGTAAGTAATTTTCTCATTTGTTCCACCATTTTCATCTGTTCACTACATAGACAGGAAAAACAATTGATTTTGAAGTCAGGAAATCTGGATTAACATATTGATTCCAGCCTTAGCTGGCTTACCTTGGGCAAATTACTTAACTTCTTGGTACCTAGTTATCTTCATTTTCTGTAAGGGTTCAATTAAATTAAATTAAATACAGTTTTTAAGACATAGGTCTCACTCTGTCACCCAGGCTGGGGTGCAGTGGCATGATCATAGCTCATTACAACCTATGCTTCCCAGGCTTAAGTGATCCTCCCGCCTCAGCCTCCTGAGTAGCTGGGACTACAGGTGTGCGCCACCATGCCTAATTTCTTATTTTTTGTAGAGATGGGGTCTCGCTCTGTTGCCCAGGCTGGTCTCAAACTCCTGGGCTCATGTGATCCTCCTGCCTCAGCCTCCCAAAGTGCTGGGATTACATGCCACTGTGAGCCACTGCACCTGACCTAATTGCATGTAACTTTGAAAACATCTAGTAGATGACTTGCCCATAAAGGTGCCTAATAAGGGTTGGCTGAATATGAATCTAGCCCATTGCCTCATATTCCAGATGAAGAAACTGAAACCAAGAGAGGTAAAATGAATGTTATATCTAAGGTTATATCCTCAGTTCATGTAAAAGTTTGAACCACAACTCTGGGTTGTGGTGTAATTCCATTCCCTTATTAACCTGTAATCAGATTTTCTTATAAATCTAGTCAAACATTATGATTTAGATAAGTCACTCACTAAATTTCTGTTTCCCTACCTGCAAAATTGAAGGGTAATAATTGTCCCCCTACATTCCAGCAATATTAGAAAGGTGAAGAGATAACACATGGGAGAAACCACAGGGAAAAACATTCTATGTAGCCGTAACATATCATTATAAACATAAATTTGAAAAGCATTTAATCTTTAGTAACACTACATTGCAATTATATATATCAGTTTCTTTCATCTCTAGATCTCTAAATCCCAACAATGTGAGTGCTGTGAACGTTCTTAGACAACAATTCCACCAGCCAGGCAAAATGGAGAATTGAGTCAATCATACAGAAAAGTCAGGAGAAAGCAAGCCCATATTCTTCGCATTGCCTGACTTTTACAGTCCTATTTGTCCAATGAAGTACCTCAGTTGTCCTCATCCCTTTGTAAGTGAATATCCATCATTCTGCAGATTAATATACATACATTCAGCTCAATAAAAGCTTCTGAATGTATGTTGCATGAAAGAGGAAAGCTTTTGTCTTGTTTATTACTGTATTTTCAGCACTTTGAATAGTGCCTGGCATGCAATAGACACTGCATAAATATTTACTGAAAGAGGGAATAAGCAAAAGAATGGATAGTATTTCTCCATTCATCAATTTGAAGGAAACCTCTTAATTATGTAAGCATAAAAATAAAGCGAGAAGGTAGCCATTGCCTTGAAAGGGTCTTTTTTTTTTTTTTTTTTTTTTTTTTTTTGAGAGAGTGTCTCACTCTGTCACCCAGGCTGGAGTGCAGTGGCGCGATCTCAGCTCACTGCAACCTCTGCCTACCAGGTTCAAGCAATTCTCCTGCCTCAGCCTCCCAAGTAGCTGGAATGTGCCGCCACACCCAGCTAATTTTCGTATTTTTAGTAAAAACAGGGTTTTGCCATGTTGGTCAGGGTGACCTCGAACTCCTGA